ACACAGATAATCGTCGATTCCCCAGAAAATATGGGAACTTCGGATGAACTTGGAGCTGTGATGGGACCATCTTGGTGCCTGTCAACTTCTGGCCCCCCGCTGTTTGGCCGCTCTTGGGCCCTCTGGGGTTTCTCTTGGAACCTTCATCCTTCATTGGCTTTCTAAGCAGGGTTTTTGGGGCTCTCTTCGTGGTTCAGGGCCAAGCCCTTTGACGTTCACACAGGCAGGACGGCCAGAATAACAGAATCACCACAGCTTTTGATGCTGAATCTGATCCTCCGGCGAGCGTCCGAGGAAAGGTTCGTTGGTAATCCTGGCCTGTCTGTGCAGCCCACTGCGCTGTCTTGGACATCTTGGGCCATCTCGGATATCAGAGCCATGCTGAGGTTACGTCGGGCCCGTCCCTCTACAGGAGGAAGATTCAAAACTAGTTAAAAGATATTCTGGGGACTATTATTTGAGTATGTGTTGACCATTTGGGAACATTTTTTTAGTATTTTTTAGCTTTCGCCGAAAATCCCCCTGTAGGGAACACGCCCGACTTACTGCTGAGGCCATCATGAGGCCTTGCACACTTGTGCCTGCGCTCCCGGGGGGGTTCTCGCCCGCCCTCGGCGATTCTGGACAAGGTGAGGTCTGCAGACCCCCCAGGGCCGCTCGCGCGCGCGAGCTAAATGTCTGATCGTTCCGACCCAAGTGTTAAGTCGGGCCTGTCCCTCTACAGGGGGAATATTCAAAAATAGTAAAAACATAGTCTGGGGACGTTTTTTTACAACCATGTTTGAGCATTTTCAGGTCATTTCCTGCATTCTTAACTCAAGTGTGATGGGCCGACTGTTCACCACCACTACCATAGAAGAGGGAGGAGGTGGAGTCGGAAGAGGAGGAGGATGAGGACGAGGAGGAGGAGGAGGACCTCCCCATCCTCCCTTCTCTCCCTTCCTGCCTAGTGTGGCGGTGGTGTAAAGTTGGCCCATCAGAGCTACATGTGTGCATGATCCTGGGAACAGGCGTTCCGCTGGGCCGGCGAATTATGTGCTGGTGGTGTTTGATGCACCTGCGCCACGGTCGTGTCTTCTGAACGCTGCGCTGCCAAGGTGCCGTATTTATTTATGTGCGTATTCTTGGTTGAAATTGGCATCCGCTTTGGCTCCTACAAGAAGGTGCAGAACTGCTTTCATGATCCGTGGTTCTGCTTCGACTCAATATTGGTCTTTGCGATGGTCCTGGAACTCTGCATGCTGCCAGCGGTGCAGGCAATATTGCAAGCCGAGCATTCTCAGAGGCGGGAGGGGCAGGGTGCAAACCACAAGGGCTGGCGCGCGCGCTGCTTTTTTCGGAGGCAGGGCGGCAGTGGTTTCGGCACGTCTGTGCCGGGGCGGTGCGGATTCACCTGGCATCGTTCGGACGTGTTTTTTTCTTCGGCGAGGACCATCGAGGAGCATCCTTGATGATTTGGCGAAAACCACGCACGAAACCGAAACAAACCAGGGAATGGACGTCCGAGCGATGGCCAGTTCAACATCTCGGCATGATGCGCGCCCGCGTCACAGCATTACCATTGCGGCCAGATGCCGGGCGGACTTGCTGTCGGTGGCCGTGGCGCCAAGAGCTCTAGGAAGGTCGATCATGGAGAGATCGTGCAACAAGGTGGGCGTGTCTTTAAACGTATTTTCGTTCATGCTCGTCTCGGTACGGGGCCTTTCTACACAGGGGCGTACGGCCTTTTGGCTTGCAAGTCGGCAGCACATTGGTCTTTGCCACGACGTCCCGTCACGGCCCTTGCGTCATTGTCGCGTTGGCAGTTGAAGGGGGCTCACCATCGGAGGTCTGGAACTCTCAATTTGTCTGGATGGATATGTTTCGGCAATCAGCTGTCTGATCTTACAGTTCCCTACATTCCCTCTCCCTTCCCGTCATGTTCCTGTCTGCCCATACCATCGCCATCGTTTTTACTATTTGTCTGGCCCGAGAAGCGCTGCTGAGCAGCGCGGTAAGCAGCAGCAGCGACAGCACCGGACGGCGACAGCACGATTGTTGGGAAAATGGGCACGGATTCGGCCCTTCGGCTCACGAAGGGAGATGGGGATGGGGAGGAGGCGGGCACTGGGGAGGAGCATTTCGAGGAGGATTGGCAGCCAGTGTGCCGGGCATCAGATTCCACATGCGCGTGCATGCGATGCAGCCTTGTCAGGGATGAGGAGCGGTACCATCCTGAGGTCGAGGAGGAGGAGGAGGAGGGCGAAGCTGATGAGGGCGACGGGGGATGAAGAGGCAGGTAGGAGAGGCAGTTGCAGGAGGAAGAGACGGACGAGGACGAGGGCGAAGAGGATGCAGAGGAGGAGGAGGAGGAGGGCGCAAAGCGGAGACATGGGATGAAGGAGGATTCGAACGGGACGAGAAGGAGAGGATGAAGCAGGAGATTGATGAGGAGGTCGACGACAGCGAGAAGGACGAGGGGTGTTGATGAACGGATGATGAGTGATGGCGCAAGGTGGGGAAGGGACAGGTAGATGAGGCGGGAGCGAATTGAAACATGAGCAGGAAGAGAGGATGAACAGTATGATGAGGAGGAGGAGGAGGACGAGGAGGAAATAAGAGTTGAGACGATGGTGAGGAGGTGGATGAAGAGGAACGCGAGGGAAGAGAGCGAGGGCGAGGAGGAAAGGAGGGAGGGCCAGGAGTGGAGGGTACTTGTTGTTTTACCTGAGCGTTCCTTCAGCGCGCCCGCTGCGGAGATCATCCGTTGACGCGTGAACGGGGCATCACCCCATCCTCGCGCCTCCCGCTGTCTATCATTGCCCCTCCTGAGTGGGCGTTGGAGACTGGACAGTTTGTAGCTAGCGAGCCCATGTCCTTAAGCATCAAGTGGTCTACGGTCCACTCTACTGCTGCTCGTCTGCACTCAGATGCTACATGTCTCGGAAGTGATACTGTACTAGATCTTGGTCGAGAGGGGCCTATAAGATCTCCAAAAAACCCATTTCACATTCTATTCACAAGGAAACTGTGTTTCGCAAAACGCAAGGCGGCCAGAGCGTTTCCTAGAGAACGTTACAGTGATGTCGAGAGGGTACGTCAGATATGCATCACAGTGTAGTCAAGCACCTGGTACACATCCTAGTGAATAGGATGATCGAACACGTCATTCATCAAATTGTCGTGTTGTGACAGCGCCACTCCATGAGAGCAAGTACCCTGCAACGTCAAAGGCCACCCATAGACCATAGACACCCGAATAAAATTTAGTCAAACTTATGGATGCTCTTCAGGTCTCCGTCTGCGGAAGAACTGAGTCCATGCAACATCCTCTTGCAGGTCATTGGTTTGGTGTCTCCGGTGAGTTTCGCCACTCCCGTCGTCAGCAGGCACGTCAACAGGAAATATGCCAGTCTTCGTAAGCGCGTCGCTAAGTACCCCGTCATAATACATACGCAGAGTGTGTATCTCACTCGTCCAGTCCTTCACGCCTCCCGTAGGGCCATGGTGGCCAGCCTCTGTTGGCGATCTTGGGGGATTCCCTTCAATTCTGTCGCCAACTTGAACATATCCTTGCAGTCTGCCATGTGATCAATCGGGGCCACGTACTGGCCGGCGCTGCTCCTCTCAAGGAGAAGGGTTGTCTTCTCTTTTGTTGAACACATCAGGATAATATGCATCTCGGTCAGTCTCATTGCATCTGAGCGCCTGGTACCATAGCCAATCTACAGTTATCATTGCCCATGGAGGTCGACTGCGCTACCTTCTGCGCTTTGCTGCTGATAGTCATCGACGCATGGCATTTGTCGCAAAGAGTTGCAGCACTCGCCATTGTCGTGATCAGATCCGCATCTGTTATGGGTAGCACAAACTAGGGGGCCACATGCGAACCCTACCCCTACCCCCCATGATTTCTGAGGGGGAGGGTGGGGTTCACTTCGTTCGAGAGCTCCCGAGCGAAGTGAGCCCCACCCTCCCCCTCAGAAATCGTGGGGGGTAAGGGTAGGGTTCGCATGTGGCCTCCTACAAAGGACCCGTCTTCAGGGAATACCGAGGCCTTTGTCGCAAGTTTTGTCTCGCCAACAGTTCGCAGACACAATGGTGGTTCCAAGCGTGGGTAGTACAGTCCGACCATGGCCGAGCTCACTTCAGCATTGCATTCCTTCGCTTCAGGTGGATGGTCCTCGGCTCGTTGTTGAACCCTTCAGGCTGCGTCACCATTGTCGCGATGTGTAGTTCGTGTTGGCGCAGCGAAAGCTTCGATGTCAATCTTCTCCGAAGCAAGAAGCACAAATCCCAGTCACGATTGTGTCACCGGTTCCGTCAGGTACTTGACAAAAGGGTACCGTGTTCAAGCGGACAAGCTGCTGCAATAGAGTCGTGCCGTCTGTCAGTCTTGAGCACTGCGTCCGATTGTGTGTGAAAGGTAGCTGCTGCCAGTTCACCGCTCCAAATTTGGCCTCCAGCAGGCTGATCATGTAGCCCGGGTGCCTTGGACATCCAGACGATAAGAGGTCATCGACATGAATGGACAGAGCTGCACCCACGTTATCAATGGAGCGTACTGCCTGAGACTGGTCTCGGATATCATTTGGCAGGTCGTCGGAAGTCCAGTAGACCAAACTCTTCTCCCACAGGCTCATTATGGCACGAAGAACGTATACCAGGTACATCAACCAGTGCATACATTGGCCTCAGTAGTTCTAACACGAATAGGTGGATGCCTCTCTCCTTTACGTCAATCTCACGTCTCTGCTGCATGCCGGCCCAGTGGTCTCCACATATTGGAAAGAGCGTGTTCTACCGCTGCTGGCGGAAAACCGGGGGGGGTCACTACCGGTTCGAACCCCTCCCCCCCCCCCCCCTCCCCTCCGGAAAACCGGGGGGGGGTCACTACCGGTTCGAACCCCTCCCCCCCCCCCCCCCCTCCTCGAAAAGGGGGGGGGGTCACTACCGGTTCGTCCTCGGGGGGGGTCACTACCGGTTCGAACCCCCCCCCCCCCCTCGAAAACCGAGTGGGGGTGCGGACAGTGGTGGGGACGGTGTTGGTGGGGACAGTGGTGAGGGGATAGCGGGACAGTGGTGGGGACAGTGGGACAGTGGGACAGTGGTGGGGGCGGTAGTGGTGGGGACAGTGGTGGGGACAATGGTGGGAACAGGGGGGGACAGTGGACAGTGGTGGTGACGGTGGTGGTGGGGACAGTGGTGTGGGGACAATGGGAATGAGGTGGAAACAGTGGGACAGTGGAGGGTACAATGGTGGTGGGGACAGTGGTGAAGGCGGTGGCGAGGACGGCGGTGGGACAATGGGACAGAGGTACAGTGGGGACAGTGGTGGGGACAGTGGGGACAGTGGTGGGAACAGTGGGACAGCTCAGTGGGACAGCGGAGGAGTCAGTGGGACAGTGGGGACAGTGGGGATAGTCGGGCAGTGGTTGGGGCCGTGGAGACAGTGGGGAGAGTGGAACCGTGGTGGGAACAGTTCTGGGGACAGCGGGGACAGTGCGACAGTGGTGGGGCCACTGGTGGGGACAGTAGGGGCGGTGGTGGAACCAGTGGGGACAGCGGTGGTGAGGACAGTGGTGCTGGGAACACCAGTGGGGGATGTGATGCGGACGGTGGTGGGGACCGGGAGTCGTTTGCTGGCGGTGAGTAGGGGGGGGGGGGGGGGGGGGGGGGGGGGGGGGGGGGGGGGGGGGGGGGGGGGGGGGGGGGGGGGAGGGGGGGGGGTTCGAACCGGTAGTGACCCCCCCCCGGTTTTTCAAACGGGAGGGGGGGGGGGGGGGAGGGGTTCGAACCGGTAGTGACCCCCCCGGTTTTCCGGATCTGGAGGGGGGGGGCGGGGGGAGGGGTTCGAACCCGTAGTGACCCCCCCGGTTTTTAGAGCGGGGAGGGGGGGGGGGGGGGGGGGAGGGGTTAGGGGAGGGGGGGTTTGCCGGGGGGGAGGGGGCGGGGGGGGGGGGGGGGTTTGGGGATTTCGGAGGGGGGGGGGGGCGACCCCCGGGTTCCGGAGGAAAAGGTTGGCAATTTTCCACAGTAAAGCGGCGGTGGATCACGCTCTCTCACATATTGGCATGTAGACCAAAGAACATTTCCCCTACCGTCTCGCAGTTGTTCTTCAAATCCTTCGAACGCCGTCAAGTATCGTCGAAGCTCAGCCATTTCAGGATCGCTGTGCTGATGTCCCAGCTCTCGGGTTCGGAACCTCTGTGCACTTGGGCCGTCGAGACGATCGGCTTCTGGCTCAACTTGCCAGCCGTGCTTAAGCGGCTTTGGATATCCTGCTTTTGTCTGTCCAATAGAGGC